AATAGGGTAGTTTCCTAAATTTTATTTTAATGTCCGTCTGGTACATTAATTTAAAACTTTAGACACGTATTTTTTCTTTTCTCACAAAATTAAATACTTTCGACGATATATTAATTTGAAATATCGTGTGACGTCACAGCGTGCCACATTTTGTAGCACGTTATGACGTAACAACCTCCCACTCCTAAACTTAGCGCCATTTTATCTAAGTATTGCAACTTAAACTGTCAAGGACACCGGTGACCGCAACCTATTGTTCTTTAATTGTGTCTATAATGACGGTACTCGACGAGTTAAGACGAGAAAATAAAAAATACGTGTCTAATATTTTTTCATTATCTAACTGACGGACTAATTAGATTTTTAATTTTGTTACCCTGGAAACTACCCACTTCAGACTTTGTTGTTATATATCTGTGTTCGCATAGACAATCAAAAAAAGGTTAACCTTTGGCTGTCCAGTCTGACGTAGACCTCACCACTGACGCTACCATTGAGGGCGATATCAGACCAGAGCCGTTCTGCTACTGCCGCCGCTCTAGGCCATAAGTGAGTGTCCAAATTGCCTAGAAAAATTAAGGAAATAAAGAAAAAAAATGGTTGCCTGTAAAGTCGTTTTTACGGGCGAAGATTTTACGTGACAACGTCTTTTTCTCGGTAGAATATTTATTGATATGAATATAATTAAATTGCACAATAGGAACAAGGAATTGAATGAACTAGTGCTGCGCGCGCGGCAGACCGATCATAGTTGAGTGGGAGAGAGACGCAAGGCATTCGGCGGGCCTCTCTCTCGTTCGGTGACTCATCGTAACGTTACCGAGCGTTACACTTTTTCATAAGTGACTCCCAGCCGCAACCTAATTTAAGACGTTGTCACGTCAATAATTTATTACACACACTAGTCAAGAAACAAAACAGAAAATAAAGTTTAGTGTTTCTCTTGTTGACTTTGTACATAGGTAATAGTATCTTTGAGACCCTTTGAACTCTGATAGGGTAGGCAGAGGTTCACAATTTCTATGTAGCAATCAATTTTCTATAGCAAATCCTAGTGTCGGGCAACGTTTTTTTTTTAAAAAAAGAAAAAGAAAAAAAAATTTCATCGGTTATCACTCAATTTTGCCAAATTTGTATTATAACTTTCGTGAGACATACTAAATATATTATTATACTTTCGGCTTAGTCACGTAATTATTTGACGAGGAACTCGACTAGTTTCAAGCCATGCTAGAGGCTCATATTCATGAGCAGCATTTCGCGACCCGCGACGCGGCGACTGTCGCGCTGCTACTGGCTACTCGAGTCTGCGGGCCAAGCGCGCCCCCTGCCGTGATTCACGCGCACTTTCCTCCATTTGTGGTACCGGCGACGGCGCGTGGCGGCGCGCACGACACTGTTGGGCACGCTAGACTCACCTGCCGGTAGCTGCGTTGGTGCTAGGTTCGAATCCCGGGTCGACGCAAAAACCGTGTTACATACCGCGCTCACTGTGTCACACTCTAGACCCCTAGACACTCTAGACTAGAGTCTGACGCAGATTTCAGACTCCGCTTCCAGGCAGGTGGTTGCCTCTAGCATGGCTTGAAACTAGTTGAGTTCCTCGTGAAATAATTACGTGAGTAAGCCGAAAAGATAATTTTGCCAAACACTGAGAATTTCGTATTCCCTTGGACCCCTTATTAGAAATGTTATGATATCTTAAGACTCTATCTACACTACACGTACACTCTGCATTACACACCACTATCAACCAAGTCCGTCCACAATATACTCTCCCCTCCTTCAATGGTGAACACCTCTATGTTCCGCCAGGATTTCCACGAGTACATATCTTGCCAGGTTCTGCGAAGAACACATAAATGTACACACATTTCAATTCGGTTCCCGGGTCCGACAAAGTACTACAGGGTTTTTTTAATTCTCAGTAGTTAGTAGCACGGAGTCTGGAATTGTGCCCGGTATATGGCAATAGGCTCATCCCCTTTCCGCACGCGCTTCAAGGAGCCATCAGACCACCACAGATGGGGCCCAACAGGGCTGATGCCGATACGGAGCTGCGGAAGACTTTACGGGTTGCCGGCTTCAGTCAGTAAGAGTCTGACACTCCCTCTCGCCTCACCCAGCGGGAGAAGTCATTGGATGAATTTCCACCCTCAAAAAAAAGAAAAAGTTTTTCCCCTATTACATGGGACTCATAGTGGAAAGTGGGTGTTACATTGTATTTTTTTTTATATATCTTTGACGAGGTAGATAGAGATGCACATTGGACACAAATTAAATCGATTTAATTTCTCAAATACATGTGCAAACGAAACAATGTAACTAAGAAATATATTGTAAACGTTATTGAAACAGAGTAAATTATGTAGTTTCTTTCTCGTTCTACTCCATAGGTATCTACACCTTGGAATGAGCAAATAGAGCAACTAGAGAACTGATATTTTAAATCTTTTTGTTGATGTTTAAAAGTGTCTTCCTGGTCTAATTGAAATAAACGATTTTAATTTTGACCTTAATGAAATTTGATACTTAATATGCACAACACATTATCAATGTCAAAAATTGAACTTGTTCATTGTTTTCATGAATTGGACTTGTAAGTAAGTTTATATGAAAAATTGCATACAAGCGTGCATTAATGTTTCAATCGCAAGTACAATTGTGACTTTTTCCGAGTTATATGTACTTTCTAAGCTTTTTTAGACCACTTTATACAAACGGTGAAGGAAACATCGTAATAAGTTTGAAATCGCCAACCCGCATTGAGCAAGCGTGATGATTAATGCTCAAACCTTCTACGTGTGAGAAGAGGATTTTGGTTAACAGTGGCCACTTATAAGCTATTGATGTGAGTGCATCTATGGGCGCCGATTACTTACCATCAGATAATCCAACTGCTCGTTTGCCCACAACCTTCAACGTGTTCATAAAACCGAATAACTGACTTCCTAAGAAAAGACCAGAGTACTTTTGAAATCATTTTTTTTAATTAATCTTTCCCCCACACTAGGGTTTTCTCCAGTATCGTGGGTGCGTTTACAAACATACAAGTTCACATACACATGACACTCAGACCCGAAACAATAATTTGTGGATCATAAAGAGCTGCTCCGTGCGCGAATCGGCCCCGCTTCACGTTGCGCGGCAGCCAATTGCCCAACCACCGCGCCTATCGTGCAGTCTGAACTATTATGACCATAGTGTACTATAATAATTAGTTATATCTTGTTACTGAGTTATTTATTATTAATATTTGACCCTGGCCTTGTATATTAGGATCTTTAGTACTGTTTGTTTGTATAATCTTGTTACGTTTTTGTTCCGGTAATTATATTCAGTAATACAATCTTTTTAGCTTCGGTTTGTCTGTAATTTTTAAGAGGTAATAAAAAGTATGGTTATTTTATTAAACTACTTTTAAAAGGGTAGTAAAGTAAAAGCTCCGACAAGAAAAGAAGAATTGTCCTTACTGAAAATATTAAATCTACTGCCTAAAATACTAACTTTCCGACTACTTTATATGACTGTTTATTGCTACAATACTAACCTAACCTAAATCGTCTGTTGTCGGTAACTTAATAATTTTGTCGGAGGTTCAATATTCTATTCGGAAGTTTACTTTTGTTATTCGAAGATCCATTTTTATAGTCGGCCACAGATCGCTGGACAAATTAATCTCCAGCGATCTGTGGCCGACTATAAAAATGGATCTTCGAATAACAAAAGTAAACTTTTTTTCGGAACCATTATTATTTTCCCTTT